CACCCTTCCTTGACTGGGCTAGACGCCTCATAAACATTTATAGACAAAAAAATTTTGATATTGCTATGGTAGAGCACTGCGTTTTAAGATTTTGCTTCGGAAACCGATCAGTATTGAAACCGATCAGTACCCTGATGACCGAGGAATTAAAAACCTGATTAGTGCGATATTCTCATGAAAGCTGCCTCCTCATAACTTCATAGAATTACTATCCTTTTCATATATTAGTTTCCTCCTCTCCCACCTGCCCTATCACTCCTACTTCTTTCATTTTATTAAATATTTTCTCTCCTTCTCACTCCTTCTATCTTTTCTTTCACTCATTCTTCTAACAAATTAGTTACATGTCTTTTCAATACATGGCGGGTAGGAGGCTGTACTGACGATTCCCACTTCCACCTGCATGCATAGTCCGGTCTGTGTTTACAGCTAAGGGATGAAACACACAGAGACTGCATCGAAAAATGACACCCCACTACATCTAAAAGATAAAGGCAGTTCGCACCATAAAATAACACCTTACACAAGGCCTGCGTATAATCCTGTTGGTCTATTATTCCAAGTCTAGTTTTTGTAGCTCACAATTTTTCCATTTGCTTTGCGGTCAGCTTACTGACAATTCTGACTTCCGTTTCGTCTGCTGAAGGGATTACCAGCTCAACACTTCTCGCAATAGAAGCACTTGGCTAGGCTTTATCCGATCCTCGTAGCAGGCGCCGGACATTTAGTCCATCTTGTGGTTTGAGTGTCATCTCATCCTGACAGTTGTCATCGCTGAATTGCAATGAGGTGCCTTTCCGGCTAAGGGAGTAGTAATAATAGTAACAGTAATATTATCAACACTAATATTATCGACATTTTATTATCGACATCAATATTATCAATATTTTATTGTCAACATTAATATTATCGATATTTTATTATCAACATTTATATTGCCAATGTTTTATCACGAACATTAATATTATCAGTATTTTATTATCAAAATTAATATTATCAATATTTTATTATCAACATTAATATTAACAATGTTTTATTACCAACTTTAATATTACTAATATTTTGTTATATTATCGACACTTTATTATCAGCATTAATATTATC